AGATGAAGTGTGTACAGATCAGAAATAAAACAAATCTTACAAATCCTAAAACCCAGTCTCAAATCAACTTTATCCCAGCTTAGAATTAAGTTATTTGCCCTCCAGAAAATTATTTATAGAGGAAGACAAAAATCATCCTTAGTCTATAAAAAAATTTTCCTATTTGGGATTTAGCAATCCAGTCAAAAATATATATATATGATGGGGTTGTGGCTCAGTGGTGGAGTGTTGCCTAGCACATGCGAGGCCCTGGGTTCAATCCTCAGCACCACATAAAAATAAAGAAATAAAGGTATTGTGTTCAACTACAACCAATATATTTATTTATGCCATTTACTCCGGGACAGAAGACAAAGAAAAAGAGAAAATGGAAGAAACTCCCAGATGATCTGGTTACTGAACATCCACATTAATAAAATTAACTGTGACAAACTGTCCAGCACATGCGTAGGCAGGGGCCATTATCCCAGGGGCAGTGCCCAGGGAGAGGCAATATTCCAGTGGAACCCACTAGCACAACTTCCAAAAACCCAGAATCAAAGCCACTGCCTAAAGGGCTTATATAATTATTTCAGATGTAAAGGAAGGCACAAACATAGAGCTTAACTTTTTAATAAAAACATATCCTTGAGAAAATAACTGTGATTAATGTGGTCAATAAAATAATTGAGAAAATAAAGAATTCTCCCAGAGAAGTTAAATTTAAAAGAATATAAGATTTTATTGAAAATTCCAGAATTAAAATAAGGGAACTAGAATGAGGGCTGCAGCAGGCAGACTTCACAGTAAATTAATCACAGGGAAGAGAGAATTAGTGATGGAAGATTGGTAGAAAATAATCACTTGGAATCACACTGAGAAAATGATGCAAAATAACACAAAGACACTTGAGACTTTTATATGAGATGTAATTAAAAAGTCTCACTACGAAAAAGAAAAAAGACAAAGTCTCTCTGGCCAGGCACGGTGACACACCTGTAATCTCACAAACTAGGGAGGCTAAGGCAGGAGGATTGCAAGTTTGAGGCCAGCCTTGGCAATTTGTAGGACCCTATCTCAAAATAAAAATTAAAAAGGGCTGGGGATGTAGCTCAGATAGGTAAATGGAACACAAGTAAGAGAAGCAAAAGAGATTGGGGGAAAGCAATATTTGGAAATATAAGGTCTTGAAATTTTTCAAAAATGAGGAAGACTTTCAATGAACATATTCAAGTAACACTATGAACTTCAATTAGGATTCATTCAAGGAAAACCTCACTTGAGCAAGCCACGGTAAAATGGCAGATAACCAAAGACAAAGAAGAGACAAGGCAAAGGACACACTACCTTCAAAGGAGCATCAAAAACACTTTCAGCCTGACTTCTCAGCAGAAGTATGGAAGCCAGAGACGATGGAACAATATCTAAAACAAAAACTACACACACACACACACACACACACATCCTTTTAAAAATGAAAGCAAAACAAAGACATCTTTAAGCATAACCCCATTAAATAAACACTCTAAAATTGGCCAAAAAATATGATTCCAGACTATAGCTCAGAAATGCAGATGCAAAACAAACGCAAGAGAATAAGTAAGCGTGCAACTCACCGCTCCCAGGTTCCCCGGGAGTCACAGCTGCCAAACAGGCTATGCCTATGAACAGCTGGTACCCTAACTCCAAATGCCTGGCACCAAAGAGTCTGTTTACTCTTCCATTTTCAAGGGTGGTATAGTTTTTGTCCTATAAAAAGTGAAAGTGCTGAAATATCCACACACCCAGCATATTCAATGAAATTTCAAGACTTAATGTGCCGTATGGGAGCAATGGAGGGAATCGTGGAAACTGTGTCCTCTCTTCTCGCCAGAAAGTTTGTAAACTTCCCCCAATAAAACCTGCTTTCTAAACACAAACAATGCAACTATGTAGAATTCTCTTGAGCCCTAGCACATAACACATGGGAGCTAAAAGAGGCATTATCTTATATGACTTTGAATGTAAACAGAAAATCACAAATAATGCCAAGGATTTTTTTTTGAACTGAGCAACCTGGAGTCTGGAATTGCTATTAAATGAGATATAAAAGACTGCAGGTGAAACAAGTTTGAATTAGGCGTGTCAAGTTAGGTAGACCTATTAGGCACTTAAATAGGTAACACCTACTTAAATAGGCACTTAAATAGGTAATTAGACATACTAGCCTGGAGTTCAGGGGAGACGTTCTGGATAAAATATAATTGAGAAGTCATAAGCAGATAGCTATTATTTAAAGACATGAAATTAAAAACCCCAAGAGAACAGGTGCTGACAGAGAGCACAAATTTGCAAAGTGTGACCTGTCAACAAGGTCAGCACCTTCTTCTCCCGACAAGTTCAACTGCACAAGTCAGAGTGGGACAGGCAGAGGGAGACTCCCCTGGTGCTGGCAATAATTATTCATGGCTGATAAAAAAAATAGATAATATGTACTCTTGACACAAATAGACAAAGCCACGTGTAAAGTAACTTGGCTTAAAAAAAAAAAAAGAAAGAAAGCCCTGAGATTATATCAAACTAAAAAGCTTCTTCACAGAAAAGGAACCAATCAAGAACAGGAAGAAAGAGCCTTCAGACTGGGAGAAAACCTTTCTCACTGCACCTCAGATAGAGTATTAACCTCCAGGATATACAAAGAACTCAAAAAACCTAACACCAAAAAAAAATAATGATAATAACCTAATCAATAAATGAGCAAAAGAACTGAATAGACACTTTACACTTCATATATTCAACAAATATATGAAAAAATGTTCAACATCTCTAGCATTTGGACAAATGCAAATTAAAACTACACTGAGATGCCATCTCACTCTAATCAGAATGGCAATTATCAAGAATACAAGCAACAATAAATGTTGGTGAGAATGCGGGGGTGGGGAGGGGAAGGTTTACTTATAACGTTGCTGGTGGGACTAAAAATTGGTGCAACCACTCTGGATAGCATTATGGAGATTCCTCAGAAAACTTGGAATGGAACCATCATTTGACCCAGTTATCCCACTCCCCAGCATATATCCAAAGGACTTAAAATCAGCACATAGTGACACAGCCACATCAATGTTTAGAGCAGCTCAATTCACAATAGCTAAGCTACTACAGAACCAACCTAGGTGCTCTTCAACAGATGAATGAATAAAGCAAATGTGGTACATATACCAAATGGAATGATACTCAGTCATAAAGAAGAATGAAATCATGACATTTGCTGGTAACTGGATGGAATTGGAAGCTATCGTGCTAAGTGAAATAAGCCACTCCCCCCAAAACAAAGGCTGAATGTTCTCTCTGATACACAGATGCTGATTCTCAATGGGGGTGGGGAGCGGAGGTTCACCAGATTGAACAGGGGGAATGAAGGGAAAGGAGAAGGAATGGGAATGGGAAAGATAGGAGAATGAATCAGACATAACTTTCTTATGTTTGTATATGAACACACAACCAGCGTGACTCCACATCATGTACAACCACAAGAATGGGAAGCTATACTCCATGTAAAGGATGATATGTCAAAATATACTCTGCTGTCATGTATAACTGAAAAATAATTTTTTTAAAAAAATGAGCCCTGAATAAAATCAGAGCTGTGGACCTAATTACCAATTTTAAAAGAAGGGGTGGAATCTGTTAACTGACAAGACAGGAATGCAATCGGTGATATGGAGGCTCTGGGAAATTATGTGGGACCAATGACCCATTTTCTTCAATGACAACCACAAAAATAATGGGGAAAAAGAAGACATGGGGGTAGAAGGTGTACCCTTTCAAGATTTCAAGAACCATCCACCATTTGTAATGTATGCATTTTATTTGATCTCAGGTTAAAAAAAGAAAAAAAAAACTTAGGAAAAAATTCCTTGACATTTGGAGATGCAAACACTGACTGGATGTTTGGTTTTGTTAAAGAAACAGTATCCGTGATATTTAGGTGTGACAGTAGTAATGTGGCTATGGGTTTCTTAGGTTGTCCCTATCTTTTAGAAATACAAATTGAAATAGTGATAAAATGATATCATATCTGGAATATGCTCCAAAATAACTAGGGATGGGAGTAGGTGGAATTATAAATGAAACAGGATTGGTTGTGTATTGACCATCATCAAACTGGGCAATGGATACGTGAGGAATCATCACATTATTTTTTCCTATTTCTGTATTTAAAAAAAGAACTTCATAATTTTTTTAAAGATTCACATGGTGAAAGGACACCTTGAGATAGTCAAAAGCTGAGAGTGCTAACCCCCCACAGGTTCTCACTTGAGAAGCTTCAAACACAAGTACTATGAGAAAAAGAAAATCACCCTAGGAGGGAGAGCTGAAGGGCAAAGGGAGTGGTCAGGAATGGGAACAGCAGACCAGGGGGGAACTGGAACCAAGCATTTGCATCAGTCAAAAATAATAATCCCTATGCCGAGCGCTGTGGCTCATGCCTGTAATCCCAGCTGCTGGGGAGGCTGAGGCAGGAGGATCGAGAGTTCAAAGCCAGCCTCAGCAAAAGCAAGGCACTAAGCAACTCAGTGGGACCCTGTCTCTAAATAAAATACAAAACAGAGCTGGGGATGCGGTTCAGTGGTGCCCCTGAGTTCAATCCCCAGTACCAAAAATAAATAATAATAATAATTCCTAATTAGGGGAGAAGTTTATAACAGATCGAGCTAAAAGACTGGAGAAATAATAGTATATAAACTGGAAGGAGAATCTCTCAAAGCAAATTCTTTATATTGTTCAGGAGTAGACTCCAGTCTAGCTTATATTGTGTGCAAGTTAAAATTTCAAAGGAAACCACAAAAATTGTGTGTGTCTGTGTGTGTGTCTGTGTGTGTGTCTGTGTGTGTGTGTTGATGTGTGCGTCGATTTCCAAACCTTAGCTATAAGGGGAAATAGAACTTTTTAAAACCACGAAACAACCCATCAAGGATGTTACCAACATACCTGACCCAAGAGAAAGAGGCAAGTAACACCAACCCCGAGAGCAACGGAGACAGCAGTTTATTGGTTGGGGTCTGCCGATCCCAGGCCTCAGTGGAAACCTCTGGGCTGACGGGGCTGATGGGGCTGGGCAGGGCTGGGTCTCTAGCCCTCAGAACAGGGCTTCTGGCCTTGGGACTCGGGGTACATATCCATGGCCACTGTCGCAACACTGGAGAGAAACTCAGGAAAACTGATCTTCTCATCATGGTTCACGTCCTCCTTCTCAAAGAACTTCTCTAAGAAATCCGGGCTCTTTCTTTCCTATGGAGAGAGGATCACCAACAAAAGAAAAAGAAGTTACAACCTGGGCTGGACCAGGAGGAAGAGGAGGGAATGGAGGGGGAGGGCCATCTGCGGGTCAGGGCAAGGACTGCAGGAGGGACGGGAGATGACCGTGCTGGACAGAGCCAGGGACTCGCCTGAGTTTGGGGTGGTGGTTGTTCTGTTTGGGTACTGGGGGTTGAACCCAGAGGCACTTTCATACTGAGCTACGTCCCCAAACCTTTTCCTGTTTTATTTTGAGACAGGGCATCACGAAGGTGCCCAGTTTGTACTCAGACTTTCCATCCTCCTGCCCCGGCCTCCTGAGTAGCTGGTATTATAGACTCCCTCTGACTCCGAGCTTCTTAACTGGCAATTCTTTGGCTCCAGTGAGCACATACATAGGAAATCAGAGTTGGCAGGAGGTTCTGCCACAGCCTTTGCATATGGCACCTTCATTTTTCCTGGCTGACACCCCTTGGACCTCAAAACAGCCTCCACACTCATTCCCATCAGAAGTCGCCAACTCTGAGGGCCCTTTGGGTCTCACCTCTGGGATTTAACCTATTGAATTCTTTGTGCAGTGAGTTTGGTGTGTGCTAATAATTTAATAGTGAGATTAGGCACCACAGTGAGTGAGATTCAAGGGCTGGAGGTTTCAGGGGTGCCTCATTTCACTTGGCACTTGATTTCTAATGTGTTACTTCTATTCCCAGAAAGAAACCAGAAAGAGCAGCTGTACTCTAAAAGGGGGACTATTTGCTAGTCAAAAGAGAGAGCCTGTAATCCCCGTGGCTCAAGAGGCTGAGGATTCCAAGTTCAGAGCCAGCCTCAACAATTTAGTGAGGCCCTGTCTCAAAATAAAAAATAAAAAACAGCTGTGGAAGTCGCTCAGTGGTAGAGCACCCCTGGGTTACAATTGTTTACCGCCTTACCCCTCTTTCCATTTCACAAAGTATTTTCCGTGTTTTGCCCATTTAAATGCTCATAACAACCCTGGGAAATAGGTGCCCGTGTCGCCATGGGATGTCTGAGGTAACTAAGGGGAATGGGTGGCTGGTATTTGTGACAGTGTGACATGGAAATGGCAGTGTCTACGCAGGAAGCTGGGTCTTCCGACCACCATCTTGGACTCTGTCCACCACAGTCTGGATTCAAGGGGATGGGCCTGCCAAAGGCTGGGTCCAGGTACAAGACGCCAGTCAGCCCAGTCCTTTGGCTGCCCCTCAGTGAGCTGGCACTCTGGGGCACAGCAGGGCCACAGTGCTGCTCACTCCTGCCCCCCTCCTGCCCCGTCCCACTTAGGTCCCTACTCACACAGGCCGACAGGAAGGTGGGGAAATTCTCCTGCATCATCTTGGATAAGCCAGCTTTGTCCATAGCACCTGAGTCTTGGGCGTATTCGTGGTAGAGTTGGAGCAAGCCCGTCATCATCCTCTCGGCCTCCGTGTTACCCATCCTGACTTCCAACAAGCTGCAGGAAACACACGCAGTCACCCAGCGTCCTCTTCCAAGGAGAGGCTGTAGGAAACAGAAGGGGAGGGGGCTGGGCCAGTCCTAGGGCCCCCCACTCACACACAATTATCCTGGACACATTCTGGGCCCAACCAGAAGAGCCCACCAGAGCCTGTCAGAGTGGAAGCTGCTTTGGCAAGTGCCATCAAGGTCATAGGATGCAGTCCCCAAAGGGCAGTGGTGCATCTGCTCTAGAGACGGTGGATAGGACTGTCCTTCTCCCAGCTCTAGGGGCAAGGACTGACCCCGAGCCCCTCGGTGCCTCTGAGCATCTTGAGGAGACCTGACCCAGGGGTCCCCCAAACCACAGGATGAAGGATTGTAGGGGTAGAGACAGTTCTGGGAACCTAGACTCGCCATGCCCTCAGTTGCCTAGGAAGACATTGTCCCACTGGTTCTCGATGAAGGATGGGATGTCACAGAGCCACCAGGAGTCAGAACAGAAGGAGCTAGATACCCAGCCTGTTCTTCATTGTCCAGAAGAGGCTGCTGAGGCCTAGGTGGATGCAGATGAGGGATGACTGTCCAGGCACCCTGACTGCCGCCCAGGGAGAGTCTCCTGCTGTGAGCAGAGCGGGCCAGGGCACTGCGCCTAAACCTACAAGCAAGAGGCAAACGGGGACTCACCAGACCCCGAGGAAGAGGCACCAGGAGGAAGACGGTGAGAGGTGTACTCCAGGGTGAAGAGATGCCCCTTTTATGGTACTTGGATCTGGGCTGGGCCAAGGCTGGGAGCCTGGGGCTTATTCCCTCAGCTGCCCCAGCATGACCCTGTTCTTGGTGGAGACTCACACCCAAGACTCTGCCCTGGGGCTCAGAGGTGCCTGCCAACCCAGCCCCCACGGGAGCCCTCTTGCCTTCCTAATCTTATGGGGCTGGAATAGCAGGGAGTGGCAGAGGAAGGGGGAAGAGGCCTGCTGTGCCCCAGGGATAGAGCGGCTGGGGCTTTGCAAGTGGAATCCGAGTCTCCCATTATGTACCCAATGAGTCATTCAACCAACTTTCATTCACTATTGATAATGCAAAGCGGTTGCCATTAGTGTCAGATTACCATATGCCAGGTGGGGTGCTGAGAGCTTCCAATGCTTCTCCCATTTAATCCCTGAGAATGCCCTGCATGACAGGTAACCCAATTAATTGACAGAACTGGAACTGAGAGTTGAGCTAGATTTCTCAAGTGGATACCCTAATAAATGACAAAGTCAGGATTTGAACCTAAGACCTACTGACCCTGAAGCCCAGCTTCTGCACTCTGCAGAAATTCGGAGTCTCAGGCTGGGGCTGGGGCTCAGTGGCAGAGCACTTGCCTAGCATGTGAGGTAATGAGTTTGATCCTCAGTACCACATATAAATGAATAAAGGTCCACCAACAACTGAAAAATAAAAATTAAAAAAAAGAAAGAAATTCTGAGTTTCTATTGTGTCCATTCATGTCTGGGATGAGTGTATAGAGCCAGCCCAGATCCTGTCCTGCAGGAGTCCCCTGTTCAGCATAGATGCTATATGTGCAGATGTGCACACTACAGTGACCAGGACTGATACATACACAACCCAACTGTTACAGCCCATGTCGTCTTCTTCTTCTTCTTCTTCTTCTTCTTCTTCTTCTTCTTCTTCTTTTTTGTTGTTGTTGTTGTTACTGAGGATTGAACTCAGGGGCACTTGACCACTAAGCCACATCCCCAGCCCTAGTTGTATTTTTCTTAGAGACAGGGTCTCACTGAGTTGCTTAGCACCTCGCCATTGCTGAGCCTGGCTTTGAACCCACGATCCTCCTGTCTCAGCCTCCCCAGATGCTGGGATTACAGGTGTTTGCCATCGCACCCAGCCTGATGTCTTCTTGTGAGAAATGCGTCTCCCTTCCTAAACGGAAGCTCCAAAAAAATTGCATGTATGTTAACTGTCTGACTTGATTTCATTTCCATCTTAATCAGGTCAGAAGATTCCAAGACCCAGCCTCAGGAGGACCACAGTCTGTCCCCAGCAGGAAACTACAGGGCCAGGGACAAGGCTGCCAACTCACTGGACCTCCTCTTTACTGCTCTGTGCCCCAAATCATTCCCCATGGAGGGCGGGCAGGCTGCAGCATCCAGTGGGCCTCCACTCTGCACCCTGGCGCTCCTCACAGCTCTTCCTCGTGGCTCCCTTAAATAGAGCCTCTGCCTCTCCTTGGGGCCTCATGTTCCCCCTAAACAGCTCCTCTGCCCCCAGAGTCTGTCACCTCCCTGATATCAGGGTTCCCTGGCTCTACTATTCTACCAACTGCCCCAGCACACGTGTGCACACAGACACACACATGTGCACTGAATAAATCTGCACTTGGTTCTTTGGAAATGTCTCTGTATCTCGTATGTAGCCTCCCATCCTTCCTTTCCCAATGATTTTATTACATGATACATTTTGCAAACAAAATTGTACTTAGAAGCCAGAGAAATCAAATGTATAAAGGAGAGGAGCTCTGGGGAGGGATGGGCACGGAGCCAGCAGCAGCCAAAACAGCCTCCAAAAGCCTCTGGTTAAAAAGCATAGATTCTGGGGCTGAGGCTGGGGCTCAGTGGCAGAGCACTTGCCTAGCATGCGTGAGGCACTGGGTTCGATCCCCAGCACCACATCAAAATAAAAACAAATAAGATCAAGGTTGTTTAAAAATAAAATCACAGATTCTGTAATCCCAGCTACTCAGGAGGCTAAGGAGGGAGGATTGCAAGTTCAAGCATCAGCAATCTAGCAAGACCTTGTCTCAAAAAAAAATGAAAAAATACATAAATAAAAAGGGCTGGGATGTAGCTCAGGGGTAGAGCACCCCTGGATTCAATCCCCTGTACAGGAAAAAACAAAAACAGATTCCAGATGCCATGTGACTTCTTGTGTCTGTGTCCTCATGAGTGAAAATGGTAGCAGAGAGCCCCTAGTTTACTGTGGAAATCAGATTTTAGTACAGATGAAGCTCTTGGGAGAATACCGGCAGGTGGTGTCTGCTCTATGTGTTGGCCATGGTTATTCTAGTTGTGGTCAAGAGAGTAGCAAAGCAATGTATTCCTTTTACCCTTGTCCCTAGGACAGGCAGAATAGGGACATTGGGGCAGGCCCACAATGGCTGTAGTCAGGCTCCCTCACCATGGTTTCCCGCAGGCTCTGTTGTGTTTTTAGCGTGGAGCCAAGGCCATGAGTCAGTTGTATTAAGGTCGATGTGTGGTCAGGATCAGAAACGCTCTGACTCAGTGTATGTACTCAAGGTCACACATGTGCCGTGAGCATGCATAGGGAACCTGTGGGCAGTGTGCCTTCATTGTGTGGCCTGCATATAAAAAGGGCCTGTGGAACTGACTGGGGGGGGGGAGTAAAATGGAACCACTGGGGGAGAGAGGGAGGGGCTCCATGGAACTGGCAGGGGTAAATCTGAAGCTGGAGGCTGCAGGCTGCTGTCACCTCTGAATAAAACGTTCCTACTACCCTAAGTGCATCTTCACCTTCTTCCACCTGCCGGCACCCCAAACCCTGCTTCCAGGGCCTGCGCCTCACCCTCCACATGACGGGGGAACCTAGAAGACAATTTCACCCCTTACAGAAAGGGCAGAACCCCCTTGCCTGTCTCAGAGATGCAGTTTCCTGACAACACCTGAGAGTCCCAAAAGGAAGCCGTGCAGCCCCCAGGTACAGAGGGAACGTCACATGGATTCGAGGACCGGCCTCGCAATGTAAGCTCTGGTGTGTGGCTCCCTCCCATCAGTCAGGGACAGATGCTTGCCCAGCTGTCGAGGCTTGCTCCAGCCCCATCCCTGCAGGAAATCCACGGCGAGACACTGGTTTGCCAAGTGTGCTGTGGGGACATAATGTCCTTCTGTGGGACGGAAGAACACGTGATGAGAGGGAGCCAGCCACTGGGACTCAGGCACCAGACCAGCGAGTAGAGGTCTCGGTTCTAGTTTGGGGACCAAGGATAAGACTTGTACCTCCTTCTGTAGCGTCAGCTCATCTACTAAAGGGGAAGAAGAATTCAGCGCGGCGAATGCTGATGAGATTCACAGGAGGCAAGAGGGCAACGGTGCTCCATAAATGAAAGGAGATCCGCGCAGGAGAGGTTGAGAGAGAACGGAGTAACCGGACCAGGTCAGGTGGGGCCGGAATTCATAACCAGCCAAAGAAGGTCCACTATGAGGAAGCAGGTGCGCTGAGCATCTGAGAAGCAGGCCACCTGCTCCTAATAAACCATGTGGCCAGTAACAGGGACAAAGTGGGCCTCTGTTTCTTCATCCGTAAGATTGTACTAAACCCTGTGCCCTCAAAGACTCCGCAGCAGCAAAGTCCCTCGCATCCAGTGTTTCATTCCTCTCCCCTGAGCCACCACCCAGTGTCCACTCTCAGGCACACTCTCCTGGTTCCTCCAGCCTCCTCTGTAGACAGGGTTCGGCTCTCGGAGATGCTGATTCTGAACTACAACTTGGTTCAGATTGGGGTGACAGGATTCCAGCGTAACAGGGGTCAGGTGACAACACGTGACTATTAGCAACAAGGTGGAGCAATGTCGTAAGGACAAGCTCAGGCTGGAAGCCAGGGAGTATGGTCCTCCGAGATCTATGGAGATGGCTGAAGAACATGCTGTCCCAAGGCAGAACATGGATGGGAAGCTGTGTGACAGAGCATTTAGGCTCACCCAAGAAGAGGCCTAGCCTCTGCTCTCGGCTCTCAGAACCCCAATAACCACCTTCCTATGGAAATATAATGAAGGTTATCTTTAGTACAATATTATAGCAAATATCAAGATTTACTATAAAGCTCCAGTAATTGAGGTAGGGCAGTATTAGTGCAAGGATAAGCAAATATACCAGTGGAACAGAATAAACAGTACAGAAACTGACTCACAACGCCATGGGAAAGTGACGGTCCTTTCAACCAGGAGTGCTGTTTCAATGACATAGGTACGTGGAAAAAAATAAATCCTGGCATCACCTTACATCTTACAATAGAATTAACTCTAAGCTGGTTATAGCTCAGAATGTAAAAGGCAAAACAACAAAGCTTCTGGAAGAAAATATGGGACCCATATCTTCAGGAGATTGAAGTAAGCAAAGATCTTTAAAAGAACAGAAGA